TCAAGGTGCTGGTTATCACCTATAAAGCCCTTCATGGCATAAGGCCTGGCTAGCTGAAGGACCTGTCTCCAATTATTTCTTCCTGTCTGGTGAGGTCAGGCAGCATAGGTGCACTCTGGTCAATTAAACAGTATCACCTTGCAGGACCCAGGAAGTGTGCCTCTCTATTGTGGCTCCTGCCCTCTAGAATGATATCCCTCCAGAAACTCATAGAGCTCCCATCCTAATGACATTCATAAAGTTATTAAAAACATGGTTGTTCTCCCAGGCCTTGGGACAGGATGGTTGTCTTTTTGGTTTTTTATCAGTAGTGTGTTGTCTTCTGGGTGGTTATGATTTTTTTCTATATAAGTTGTTTTTCTTTTTTAATTGTAAGGCACCCAGAGTTATTAAGGAGTCAAGTAGCCTCGAAATTTAATTAAACAAACAAACAAACAAAATGGTTTTTGTTAACACATTCAGGAATCTCCAATGGGTAATAGATGGTCAAAAGATTGAGCAGGTGAGGGCTTTTAAATATCTAGGTGTGATCTTCTAAGACACAGGGTCACATAATACACATATTGACTCTGTGGTCTTGCAGGTTCAAAGAAGCACTTCACCCGTTTTAAAGGTTTTGTTTTTCCCCACAGTAACGGTGGTAAATGTATCTCTGTGGCTTTAAAACCACTTATAAAGCCCTACATGGCATAGAACCAGGCTCTTTGCAGGACCACCAGTCCCCACTGGCTCTGCCCACTCCACTAGGTCTAGCAGAGAGGGCATGCTCCATGTCCCATCTATCAAACAGTGCAATCTTCTTGGACCCTGGAGTCATGCCTATTCTTTGGCTGCAACTGCCCTGTGGAACAGCATTCCCCAGAGATCCTGTTGCCCCCAACCCTGTCAGTCTTTCATAAAGCTCTGAAGACCTGGCTGTTCCTTAGGCACTTGGGCCAGGAGGTTAGGCTAGTTCTGCTGGTAATATGGCTTTCTGTTTTGAAGACTGTTGTTTTAAGCAGGGTGTCATGGGTTATATGTTGTGGAAGTGGTTTGAATCTTTGTACACTGCCCAGAATCACTGCTGTGAGATGAGCGGTTCTATAAATAATTAAAACAAACTATTCACAGCTAAACCTCTGGCTCAACTGCTTTATTTAGATAAACTTAGTTTGCACCATTTCTATGAACCTGTAACTTGGGTAGAGACCTAAATGGGAACATTTAGGTCCCTACCCAAGTTATAGGTTGATAGAAACGGTGCAAACTAAGTTTATCAGACCACTGCTTCCTGCCCCAAGATGTATACTCAACATGATCTTCAGGCTTGAAACTGGCCAAAAGAGGGTCAAGTTTAAACACTCTTAATAGAATTTGACTATTAGTTATTAGTTTAAGTACTATTTTTCAGTTGGACTGATTCCATCAATTCTATCAGATAAATTTCAATCCTCATTGCCCCAACTAATCCTAGGGGAAAATCATTTTTAAAAAACTTTGTGGCCTTTTCTCTGAGTCTTTACAGTTTCACGAATTCTTGAGAGTCATAAGAGAAGAGCTTCTAGACACTGACCATCAGAATGAGAGAAGTCTTATTTCCAAATCTTCTTCAACATGGTATAGCTACCCCAGATGGAAATAAGCTAATTATATAAATTCATTAATTTCTCCATGACAATTAAAGTTCTTTTTTGGGGCCAGATTCAACAACCTGCTCTCAGATTTAGTGAATCTCCTAAGGCTAGTTGAACCTGCCCTTGTGGGAGAGTTCAATCAAATTTATCCTTCAAATGCTGTTACACTACCCATTTTGAAATAGTATCTGAAGAATGCTCACCTTTCCCTTGTTGTCACATGTCCCAGGTAGGCCTGAAGAATTTTATGTTGATTTCTTTTTTGTTTTTCTAGAAGTTCCAAACTTTAATCTGGATCTGAAGGAGAATAATCTCAGCTCTCTCCTTCATTCTACCCTGGCATATTATTTGTTGCTCATCTCCCTTTCCCCAAAGTTTTGGCTTTGTCCTTTAAAAAAAGTTTTTTTCTTTATCTGGAAGAAGATGGGTTGAGAGAATTTCTAAAGCCTATGCCTGAGAGTTATAGTCAAATTCAGCTTCTGTTGGGTATTTAGATGTGCAGAGGCTGTAGTATTGTGAATGTTGGTTGGCTTTCATAACAGGGTAGAATAGTAGAAATTAAACTGGCAGAATGAATGAAATTAATGCATTTCTTTTCTATCCTGCCATATTTTATATCTTTTTCTCAGTTTAAAATTTGGCTTAAAAATGAGGGTTTTTTTTTCCAGAAACAGTCTATAGCTAAAATCCTCTCTGCTTTTTCAACACCATAATAAAAGAGATTAGGAGATCAATGCCTCACACACAATCAACCAAAGAGATATCACACCATAGAACAGCAGCATGACTCAGATGTAACCTTAAAAACTATCCTACAACAAAGGGTAAACACCAAAGTAAGAATAGATATGTTCAATGCTATAGTTATACTAAAATGGAGATACAAATGGAGAAAATATGTCATTTGCATGCATGGCAACAGATAGACCGAAAAAACAACATAGTGGTGCCCTATAACCTTGTGCACCCATAAGATCTACCACCTATGACGTGGAGAGATGAAACACAGAAAAACCTTGGTCCCAGTTGGAACACTTGGGCTGTACACAATCCAAATATCTGTTGATATTTTTGCTTTGGGTAGTAAACCTAACCAAATGAATATGATGATCGAAGTATCTAAATAAACAAAGAGGGACTGGTATATCCACTACTCTTTTTATAAAGTCTGCCAATTGGAACAGCTGGCTTTATTAATAATGTGCAATAAGAATACTCATTGGATAAAATTAGGAAAAAATGATGCAGATACGTTATCTACCTTTATTACCTGATTATTTATTCTCATGTAGACATACTGATCTTGTTCAAGATGTACATGAATTTTGTCCAAATTCCATTTTGAATTTGGACAAAACACTCAATAATTCAAGTATGGGCATCTGAAAGCTCCTCTCCTTTAGTACATGTCTGCAACATCATGATACACATGCAAGAGGGGTAGGACTTGCATCATGATGATGCTTGCAGTCAGTTTTAGCACATTTTTGCCAGTATGTCACAAGCCCAACCAATGCCCAGTTTTATTCCAAGCATATTCATGACTTTGTGTACAACCTAAGTCTCTAATCTAAAGACTGGCTCGCAGGCCAATATACTGTTCCCTATATTTCTGTTTGTAATTCTGTTCTCTGCAGGCTCCCTTCCTATGGAACAGCAGCCCATGAGGTGAGGTTCCATCCCACTCTTATGAACTTCTGAAAGTTGAAAAGACCTTCCAGAAGGCCTTTTAGAATTGATTCCAGAGTTGTTGTAAAACTGAGTTTTATTACACTCTTACAGTGTTGCTGTTGTTGCTATTTAGATATACTGTAAACTATGTAGTGTCCAAACTGATTGAGGTGAGATATAATTATTTTTATTGATACTCAAATAAAACAAACTAGGAGTTATATTCAGTGTATACACTCAAGATTTCTTAGTGGTCTTCATGACAAAAAAGGAAAATTAAAATCAGAGTTTTGCTTTGAAAATTGGTATTTTTTTTAAAGCATACTCCTTTTATAATTTTTCAGGCATGTTGCAACATACTTATTTCCCTTTTAATTAAAAGAATCTACCTAAAATTAAAAGGGGTGGGGGTGGGAGAGTGACAGAAAGCTTGGTAGGTAGCAATAAAGATATCTGTAGACTCATCACATTGTCCATCCCTGATGTATGAAAACACAGATAGTGCTACTAGCTAAGAATATTTTCTATCATGTAAGATTGAAACACCAGCTGCAACCCTTCTAAAATATCCTTCAAACATCTGAGATCCTCATAGAAAGACAGAAACTTTGTGGATCTTTTAACTTTAAAAACTACAAGAATGATTGCCATATACACTGATTTCCTGGAGGAAAAGTGGAACATAAATACAACAATTAAAAAAAAAAACAATAAAACTATTTTTAACTTTATAATCGGAATATTCACAAAGAGTTGAAACTGAGAAATTCTCAGTAATTCTTTTTCAATATTTAGCACAGATGTGGCCAATCATAGTCTAAATGTGGTCCCTATCTGTGGACCACAGAGAAGCCATTAAACATTTATCAAAATTAAGTGGTAAAATGACTGCTTCTCAATGGTATGATTCATCATTTTTCACTAAGTTCAATCCTTAACTCCCTTGTACCTCCCCAAAAAACAACCCAAATTTTTCAGTCCTGCCTACCATGTAATATCACATATCACCATACAGTCTTCCTTCAGTCCTTCAAGCCAATTTTTTTAAAAAGTACAGCCTCCAGGCACAAAAGCAGCCACTACTCCTTATTCACCAGTATTCAGAGCCCAAAGTATGCATACCACCTCAAAAATGTGATTCCAATGAATACATTCTAGTTTCAAATACTTAATAGTTGAACTATTTAGAATTAGAATACTTTGATTATATTGTATAAGCGTATTCTAAATATGCTATTGAAATTCTATGAACATTTGCCAATGCTTTACTGACCACTAGAGGACTCTCTTGCTACTCATTTTACCTGGAATTCCAGGCATTTGCCACAGTAAGGACATGATGTGGCTTGCCAAATGAAATTCTAAAAAACTCTCTAACATTTTATCTCACAATACAGCATTGACAATAGTCCCAGAATGTTCATCATTTTGAAGCCAAATGGAAACATTTTGGCCTCCTCCTCAGAAACAGTGGAGAAAAATGCTCCATACCATATTTAAGGAGTTTTGTGTCTAAAATGGAAATTACTATGCTTTTCATTTATTTTTGATAATTTTCAGCCACATGTTAACCATTCAGGTTGTGTACCACAAGCTTATACTTACGTTTTCAATGTGCCAGATGTCATAAGTTCTGTAACCAGAACAATACACTTCTTTCCCTTGACTGTAGATTCCCAGGAATCATAGAATCTAACAATATTAGGATGCTGAAGCCCTTTCAGCATTTCAGCTTCCTCCTTAAACCGTTGCCTTTCTGATTTGGACAGCTTCCGATCCTAAAAGAGAAAATCAACAAAAATGTATTTTAAAGAGCTACAAATAAATATTAAAACAATATTTGGCCCCAAATGTAAAATATTTAAAGATCAGGATTACATATTACAAGGCACAGAAAGCTGTTTCTACTAACAGTCTTTCAATTCATCATGTAAACTATTGATTACCCTTATTTGGTACTTCCTGCACAAACTGCCAACAGTAATTGGTTTGGCTATAACAGGAATTATGTAAGAGGGAGAATGTATCATAAAGGGGTAGGAGATACACAAGTATTGTAACATTTATTTCTTTTGCTCCTAGAAAGCAAAGTGCTCTTGCCATACCCGTTATATGTAAGTTCTTATGACTTAAAAGTTCCTCTTTATTAAAAACGTTGGTAATTTCTTTCTAATTTTATTACAACCTCTTATCAGACAACCCAAAGAACCCAACTTAGTGCCACGGAATAAAAAAAGGATCTATCTTCAAATAAATATATTAAGAATCTCTAAACACTGTTCTGCATTCTTGTATGAATTAATGTCCTCATTCCCAATTAATCCACTAGCAATATTTGCCCCTTTAAGACATAATTTAAAGATAATATGCTTCATGAAAGCTTATAATCATAAATAGGGAAAAACACTGAAAACAATAACCAAATTCCCATGTGTCTATAACTAAGGTTATAGTAATTTGCCTTTGTTGAATTGTCTTTTTTTTTAATCTATGAAATTTAAGAATGTAATCTTATTCTTGTATACTAATAGTAATTCCCACTAATTTCACTTAGGGTTTATTCTCAAATAAGAGGGTATAGGGCTGCAGCCTAAGTCAAGGATAATTGAAATTTATAAAACAAGGGTAGTTGAAAATAGTTAATAATTAAGCCAGTAGCTTACTTTACTGATTAGGTCAGCCACTGGATAACATACATGCACACAGAGTGCCAATGTGGAAGAGGTGACTTTGAGAATAACGGAAAAGGAAATCCCAGGTTACGTCTTATGCAATGATTTTTCTACTGGAAAATTCTTACAATGTACAACAGATATAAACATGTAACTTCTTAGTATGCAAACATATGCATTTTTCCTACTTCAAAGTAATATCTCTGTAGGAAGAATCATATGGGGAACAGTCTTACAATCTGTGCAAAAATGAGACCCTGAAAACACAATGCTGTATCATCAGCTAGACGGTGCACAAGAATGAAGTTAAAGTAGGTGCTAAATGTTTCAAAATTCAAGCAATCACCTATTCAAGTATCACTTCTAAAAGTCTAAGATCAATTACTCAGTTCAGCTGTCTTCTGCTTCTGTAGTATATGAAGCAAGAATAAGAAAGTGATAGCCCTGATTCTCCCACCTCCTGAGAAAGAGAGATAACACATATGCGTGTGTGTGTGTGTGTGTTTCTAAAAGATCTTAATGTTTCTAGGCAGGCTTTTAGAATATCAAAAATATACTTTATTACATTTTGGGCTTAGCATGATATCGATATACGATGGCTTACAATGCACAGTGGATGGATTTGTACAACATAAAAAACTTAAAACAAGCAGAGCATATTATGGTTCAACGTGTATGAACCAAGCTACAGAATGTAATCTGTTTATTTATAAATGGAATTTATGCCTTCCTCTTAAATACTATTATAGAAACCTGGATCTGGACTCTGTTATTTCATAAAATTAATCTAATTTTTATCAGGACATCAGTGAAGACTACATTCCAGGAGATAAACTAAAGTTTACATAAGAAAGGGAAAAGTAACACAGATCAAATGTACAAATTATAAAAAAAAGCTACACCTCAGCAGTCTTGCTATAGTTAGGGACCTAAAGACCTAAAGCTACATACATGCTATGATTGCAAAATAACACTTGAAAAAAACTTTTTCCCGATTGCATCAGCCTGTCCCATTAGATCTGGCAGAGAAGGCATGCTGCAGGTACCATCTGCTGGGGATTTACATTTGGTGGATCCCAGGAGGTGCCCTTCTCTGCCTTGGCACCTGCCTTATGGAACATCCTCCCCCTGAAGTCAGATTAGCTCCATCCCTGTCAATGTCCCAAAAGTCTCTCAAGACCTGGTTAGGTCACCAGGCTTGGGGGTCCCAGGGAACCAGCAACATTCTAAGATGGCTCCACTATTGTGGTTGATATATTCACTCTCTCTGTGCCTTGTGGTTTGTATATTTCATTTTTACAATAATATTTTATATTGTTATAATGATTGTTTTATATTTGTATATAATTGTTGCTTTATTTGAACGTTTATGCCACCCAGAGTCACTTCTTGTGAGATGGGCAGCCATATAAATTTGATAAATAGACAGACAGACAGACAACAGATAGATAGATACCTGAAAAATGCAAATTATTAGATGCAGGTTTCTGCTTCCTAAGAATCTCAACACCTTCATTTATTTAGCAACATTTGAAATAAGCCCAAACAAATCAATACATAATGTTGATTTGTATCCTTTATATTAGAGGTGGCAACACTCCCAGACTCTCAGGTGACCCCATTCTTACCCGAGTTAGCTGGAGGACCTCAGGTTGGATCAACAGAAAGGTGGTGATATCAAAGGAAAGGAAGTGGGGTGATTCTTCTCTATCCCATTTTTGGACAGGTTAAATTTTTTAGCAGTGAAGATGGAAGCTTCAACTGATCCAGAATGCAGTGGAGCACACAGTGTTGTGTGCACCAAGGTTTGCTCACATAACACCTCTGCTCTGTGAGTTGCACTGACTCCTAATATGCTTTCAGGTGCAATTCAAGGTGTTGGTTATCACCTTTAAAGCCCTACATGGCACAGGGCCAGGTTGCAGAATTAGCTGTCTCCAGTTGTTTCTGCTTATCCCACCAGCAAAAGTGTCATCTTGGGGGACCAGGAGACTTTTACCCTAATAAGGTGGAAAGAGTAACATTGTTCTTTGTTGATTAGGGCTATTGCTCTTTAGCCCTAATCCCTACTACTGATAAAGGTTGATATACTTCCCTATTACTACTCAATTGTGCTTATGTCCAAACCCATTGCACTCACCAAAAGATCCTTTAATGCAATCGTGAATTCTCAGTAATGGTCTCCTATGAAATACTTCTATTCTGAATACTAAAGAAGCATGTCTATATTCTCAAAGGTAAGGTATAAGGAACCTTGGCTTCTCCAGCTTGGAAATGCCAACATTAAACAAGGACTTGTTCATGCAATTTTGTTCTACAAATTTAGAAAAACTGAGTCACATAATCTGATAAACTAAAATATACCAAACCTTCCAGGAATTTGTTTAAATTTCACCAGAGTTTAAATTAGCTATAAAAACATTCTAGAAGAACACATGTTCTACCCTTCTTTCAAGAAAAATTAATGATAGTTTGCTCTAAAAGCTAATCCAATTATGCTTTTAAAAACATTCAGTGAGATATGGAAATGGACAACTAGCTTTAATTGGTTCTTTCACATCTTCCATCAACTAGGAAGAATTCAACAAATTCTATACATGCAGATGCTACAACTTTTTCCACTACTTCTGAGTTTTTCTTAAGAAGAGCAAGTAAATAACTTTTAAAAATTCATCACACAGTACAGCAAACTAGGCCAGTTACATTTGGTTCTTATGCGTGTGTTTGCCTTCGAGTCAGTGTTGACTCCTGGTGACTGCCTGGACAAGTCCCTGCAGTTTTCTTGGCAGGATTTCAGAATCTGCCATTGCCTCCTTTCCTAGGGCTGAGAGAGTGTGACTAGCCCAAGGTCATCCATCTGGCTGACAGGACTAGAACTCCCAGTCTCCCAGTTTCTAGCCTGATACCTTAACCATTACACCAAACTGGCTCTTCACATATGGTTTTTACTGGAAGCTTTTCAATTTTAGAACTAAACCTGGGAACTTTTGACTTGTAATGCTTTTCCTATTCTCTACATTAACTTGGTTCCAAAATGTTTGAGGAAAAGGAAAATGATACCATCCTGACTATGGAGTAGAGTTAATGAATATATATAGCTAAGTAAAGTTATAGGAAGGTATGGGTTTTAATGTGTATCAGAAAGTATGTATCAGCATCATCTAAGATGTTATGGGTACATATGAAAGTAGGAATCCACAGATTGATGACAGATACTCCAGTGAACAATGATCATGGAAGAAACAGTGATGACTTTAGTAAAAAAATGTGAAATATTCCCAATGAATGTAGTCCAAGGGGAAAACTATTCTCCTAGGAGAAATTAACAGACTGGTGAGAATGAGACAAGAGTACAGAAAAAGCATCCGGGCATTCGGAGACCAAAAAATGAATGAGAACAGTGACTGGGTCATTTGAAGACTGAAAAATGAATGAGAATGGCAATTATTTGGTGAATAACAGCTCAGAAAAAGACTGCAAATATATCCTTCAAGCATTAGCCTGTTTATAAGAACATATGGCAAAGCAGTGAATAAAAACTAAAAGCATGATTGATTTGGTCATTTATGATGAACAATTAAGAGAATCAAGGAAGAATACAAAGATTATGAGAAGTTCTGAATGGAGATCATTGGATGGTAACGTTAAGAATGGAACTTGGGGGAAAAAGGGACACTGGAGAAAGAAAAACGCAGAAGAAATGAATGTAAAACTGCTGCAGACAAAAAGTACAAGTCCTGTTTGAAAATGTATTACAAAACAGATTAAACTCTGGACCAAAAGCATGAAAAGCAGACATAAAGAAAAAGGACGCAGACACAGTTTGGAACAGAATGAAAAGAAGTATGTGACAGAGTCCCAATAAAATGTATGGTTATGATAATAGGAAGTATAAAAAAGGATGCTTCATGGAATGATTAATTGATAGAGACTATATGAAAAACCCCTTCATGGATCACTGCCTTGTCATGGCGAAGGGGCTTGCTAACTCAGTGAAGCCATGAGCTATACCGTGCAGGGCCACCCAAGACGGAC